CTTTAGCATGGTAAAGATGTTTGTCTTGCTCTGGTGAAAATACAATTGACAATTGATGAGACAAGATGTCCAGATGTACATATATAAATGCCAAACCTGCCAACAAGAGAAGACTCCAACATACAAATCATATGGGTTGCTTGCATTATTGCCAACATCTAGTGGTTTCTGATATTCAATATCCATAGACTTTATAACAGATCTCTCTCTGAGTAAAAAGAAGAGGAACCCATACAATGCAGTTCTGGTTGTTGTGAATTGATTTATAAAGCTTGCACATTTTCTTGTGTGTAGAAAAAAGATTAATGTGCCAGAGATGGCAAACCTTCTGTTCAGAAGAGTATTTAAAGACTTTGGATTTCCAAATAATATTGTTTCAGACTGGGGATCTGTTTTTACAAGTGAATACTGGTCAGAGCTATGTTTTCACATAAAAGTTAGATAAAAACTTAGCACAGCATTCCACCCACAAACAGACAGCTAAACAGAGGCACTGAACAAGATTTTGGAGAGATATCTTTATGTTTATTGTAGCTATAGGCAAGACAACTGAGAGAAGTGGCTTGTGTATGCAGAATTTGCATACAATAGATCAGAACACTCTGTGATGCACATATCTTCATTTAAAGCAATGTATGGCTTTGAATCTAGGGAACCAGACAAGATTCAGAAGTCAGTTGACAATGATGATGATGCACAGACAGTGCCTGATGGGAGACTGAGGATAATCTCTGTGTTAAGAGATAGTCTGGTAGAATATTTGACAAAAGCAAAAGAGAACCAAGCATAGTTCTATAACTGAAGATATCAAGATAAAGTGTATGCACCTGATGATGAAGTGATATTGTTATCAAGAAACCTACAAACAATATGTTCTTGCAAGAGATTAGATGACAAGTACTATAGATCTTTCTCAGTGATAGAGACCATAGGAAATAACACATATTGACTGAAGCTCCCTTCAAGCTATCAGATCCATGATGTTTTCTATGTCTCATTGTTGGAACCATATCATACAAGAACAGATGAGGTGCTAATGTGTCCTTCTGTGGTACTAATAGATAACCATCATGAGTGGGAAGTAGATGAAATCTTGAACAACAAAGCACACTACTGCAAGAAATGTTACCTAGTGAAGTGGAAAGAATTCCCTATTGAGAAATCAACATGGGAACCTGAGAAAAATCTTGAAAATGCACAAGAAACTCTTAAGAATTATCTAAAGAAAAGATAAAATTACAAGAAGACAAATAAACCTATATACAGAAAAAAAGATAAAAGTAACATGAAACAAACATAAAGATCATAATATGTCTACAAAATCAAGAATTTAACAGTAAAAAGGTGTATCATAAGAGTATCTGAGACACAGCTGTAATAGTGGTGAACTGGTTATAGACAAGTGAGGCTTGAGAGTTGCAGATATGTTTGATATGATAATGAACAGAACTACAACAGAAAATATAGTCACAGAGAAAGACATTACAGATAAAGAAGTATAAAGAGAATGAAGTATTTCTATAATACTTCAAAAACCAGAAGAAACAACATCAGTTAGACAATTAATAAAAGATGTGAGGTTGGCCTAAGCAGAAGTTAGTCTGAGAACAAGTAAGATAATACAGAAGACCTACAAGACTGGTTTCTGTACTGTCTTGAAGAGCTTTAGTTCCACTTGTTAAACAAGTTGTAAGATGATCAAGCAAGACTTAAATGTTTGCAACTTCATTTTCTACTCAAGAGAGAACAGTATAAACTGGGCTTGATGAATGAGAGAACTCAGACAGGCTGTCTTTAATAGATTCTGTCTTGGATATGAGATCCATGATCTTAGCTACATGGCATGAGACAGAATGATGATATTTCATGAAAGATTCTTCAACAGTAAAAGTGACCTGGTGACAGTAATGTTTAGCAGCTTCTGAGTTGAGCCCACAAAATTCATGCATGAGTATACTCATGCACTTGATGTTGTACAGATAATGTGAATCAGCTATGTCAAAACTATAATATTCTTCTTGAAGTTGTAAGAGCCAATGAACTAGTTCAACAGTAGATTCTGGAACCTACAGCTATGTCAGAACAACAAGAAGAACAGATAAAGACACACTTACATCATAACAGATACAGATTTAATATTCTAAATAATAAGAACAAGATTTCTTCTTGATGTTCTATAGATAAGACTTATCTTCATTCAGGCAGTCTGTAAATATTGAGTAAATACAGATAGAGCACAGAAAAGTATCTTCTTTATTGTGCACAACAGAGTTTTTTAATGACAATATTATGACAAGTTATAAAACAAACAAGAAATGACACCTGAGCCCAAACAAAACAGAAGAAAAGAAGAAAGAAGAGGACCAGAAACTCTCTATTTATACTTATTATAATGTACCAAGATTGCTAGTCCCACAACTTGTTGATAAATAATATAACAACAAACAACAGACAATATAGCAACCAGACAAGCAAACAAACAAAGAAATGAGTATGTGATGAAACACTGGACTTTCATAATAAAATGATTGCTGTTCTATAATAAAGAATGTCTACTGCAACCAGTGGTGATATACATGTGGGATATCTATATAGATAAGCAGTGAGTAATGCAAAAGCTTACACATTCAAGAATCTATAATGCTCCACTAATAATAGAGGAGCTATAACAACATACAAAAAACCACTTTAGTGGCCCTATGTCTTGGAGTCTGAGGCCTCTGAAGGGGGGGATAGTGTTATGAATGTAGATCTAGATCAACCAAGCATCAGACAACATTGGATGTTCAGGGGTATTCACATGATCCCAACACTGAACATATAAGAATCACATAATTTGTATGGATTGTGGGAACTCCAGTGTTCAGTCTCCAAGTAAGGGAACCCCTACATTTTACACACAACTCTCTTCCATCAGTTGTGGGCATCATATCTACTTAGCTCTTTTGTACCCCTAATCCTGGGAAAACCTACATGACCTACAACTGGTTCACCTAACAGAATGAATCAGAAATAATCAGAAGAAAGCTTAAAGAAGAAAGATTATTTAATAAAGCAAGCAGATTCTGAATCTCTGTCTGCTTAGCTACTCTTTTCTGTTCTTTCTCTTCCAGACACTCTAATTTCTTTAAAGAAGAAAGACCCCAAACTATCATATTACTACCATGATACTTAAGAAGAAACTCTTGCTTTTGAAGATAAAGAAGTTTTGAAGAGATGTAAATTTATTTCTTAAGAGCTTAATATTTCTCTGACTCCAGTTTTTTCTAAGCTTTTTCAAGAGAATGTTACTTCTTGATGAAAGAACTATTATTATAAACACATGAATAACTGAAATATATACACTCACTACACTAAGAAGAACAGAAAGATATAATGCATATCTTGTTAAGAGAAGAACAATAAATACAAGAGAAGATCATGATGAAGTCTGATTTCTCAATATTAGTAATCAGAGCATTCTTACAAATGACAGACTTGAAAGCTATAGTTAAGCTATAAAGACACTTACTTAAGAAAGAAGAATACAGAAAACATAAGAAAGAGAAAATTACTCTTTTATACTTTAGAAAAGAAAGCAGAGTGATTGAAGACAACATGCTCTAAAAGAAGAGAATAATGTTATGAATCTTGTGACATAGCAGCCAAAGACACAGAATGATTAGATAAAATCTGACAAGACAGAGTTACAAACTGTTATGAAGAAATCTTAAAACAGAAAGTCATGTGACCAGAAAGTGATATGAGTGAGACAAGATATAAGAAAGAGAGTATCATGTATTGTGATACTACAACACAAGCAATTTGAAAGAAAGTATTGTGAGTATCACCAGAAGAGCATCATGTATATAAAAATGCTTATTACCAGAGATCTGATGGACTTGTTCATTGTGATCAATCTTCTTACCTATCTTACAGATATCTTTGAATCAGATACTTTCATATCTTGGTATAGTTAAATGATAGAAATACGACAAGCTAGGGAAAGGTTAATAATAGTCTGCTGAACATGTGAGTGCTTTCCATCAACACCCCTTGCGGTACGGTCAGGGGAGCCAAAGCGGCGCCGCGTCGATTGCTAGAAACGGCTATCGATACAGTCAAAGGTGAATCCGATGTCTTATCAAACTCTTGCGGCTCAAAATAGCAACCAATCAAATTAATCTCAGGAAAGAGCCATCATTAGCGTCAATAAACATATGAGAAGAGGTGAGGATGTGGTGAGGACAAGAGCGGCGAGCGTCAAGGTTGCGCTAACTCGGAACAGGAACATCCAGATTCCCCATAAGCTGTGTAACTACCTTAAATAATTAACCAGCCGGAGAGTATTTAACTGGAGTCGATGTTTGAATGTCGGTTGGAAGGTTTCAAGAAGCGCATTTTCATCATTGACGACAGCTGATCTGACGTTTTGCATGAATTAATTTGGAAAACAGCTCTGATTCCATGGTGGATAGAGGGGTATGGAGAATGGGGAGAATCCCTTTCTTGAGTTGAAGCTTCTTGACGCACTTCAAGCGAAACTTACCCTGTTGGGAGTTCCCGTCCTATTCTTCCAGTCTAGCTTCCACCTAAGAAGCGCTCTGGGATTGGAGATGAGTATTTAAATAAAGGGTCATAACGACATATCTTTTAGGATTCAATTGGCCATTTTATTTTATTTTACTTTATTTTTTATTTTTTATTTTTTTTTTTCGGGGATCATCGCATCCGTGGATCAGAGAACCATAGTCCATCGCTTCGCCGCTCCCGGGTTCCCTTACCGGGAAATTCAACGGCGTTTTCACCCCACACCTCACCCTCTATTCTGGCTAAAGGATACTGCGCTTCTATGCAAGCTGCCTACTCAGCTCTCTCGTCCCCCCGAGAAAATCGGAGCTGCGGACTTGTCTGTGGGGGTAATGCCATAGAAAGAATATAATAGGGGGGCGCACCATGGCACCGTTTCTGTTTAACAAACCTGAGAGGAGTTATTTTAGAGCTTTGATCATACCAAGAAAATGGGTGACCTTCAGCAATCATCGGGGAGCATTGTCTCCAAGGCATATGTCGTCGAGTCCGAGGGAGCGCCGTTTGTCCTAAAAGATGTTGTCCTGGACCAGGTGCAACCCGACGAGGTTCTCGTGGAATTAAAGTACACAGGGATCTGTCATACTGTTAGTTAGCCGCTTGTTACTCCCAGTCAGAGGAACCCTAGCGACAGGGACACCTCATTTGTTGTCGACAAAGTACTTATGTTTTTTTTTTTTACTTTTACGGTCTATTAGGACATTGTCGTCCAAAATGGCGGAATGCCCATTGGGAGCTACCCAGCCGTCCTTGGACACGAGGGCGTAGGCATCGTGCGACAGGTTGGATCTCAGGCTCAGGACAAGTCGCTGAAGGAAGGAGATACAGTTCTACTAGGTTTCCGTACCTGTCGAAAATGCCCATCGTGCCTGGAGGGTCGATGCGGTGCGTGTCCCCGTATGACAGAATACAACTTTGTGAGTGCCCGTCTCGGAGAGGGCGCGAAACCCATCTATTCCTTGACCGATGGCACTCCGGTCCATGGCCAGTTTTTCGGTCAATCATCTCTGAGCAAGATGGCCATCGTTGCAGAACAGTCTGTGGTGAAATGCGACGTCGATGCCGACTCCCTTCAGTATCTACCTCCGCTTGGCTGCGGGTACCTCACCGGTGCGGGAACCATCTTCAACGTGCTCCAGCCCAAACCAACCTCAACCGTGGCCATCCTGGGGATGGGTGCTGTTGGCCTGGCAGCATTGCTCGCCGCGAAGGCAATGGGTGTTCGCCAGATCATCGCAGTGGATATCGTGGACTCGAAGCTGGACCTGGCTGTCTCCTTGGGGGCAACCCACACGATCAACACGAAGCAGGTTCCTGATCTCTGCACCGGCATCCGAAACCTGCTGCCCGATGGTGTGGACCAGATCGTGGACACGACCGGCGTTTCGCCCCTGCTGCAGGCATCGATGAAGGCCCTCGGCCATGAAGGTGTGCTCGCCTTGGTCGGAGTTCCCCGACCTGGAGACTCAATCCAGGTCGATGCCCTAGACTTGCTTGTTTCCTGCAAACGGGTCGTTGGTGTGATTGAAGGTTTTGCGGACCCCAAAGAGGTAACGAATAACAACAACAAACCCCCCCAAAGAGTCATTTCACGCTCTGCTGGTGCTAAGCTATAAAATGCAGCTGATCCCCCGACTCGTCAAACTATACCGTGAAGGAAATTTCGCCATCGATCGCATCTCAACGGTCTACGCGGCTGAACGCCTGGATGAAGCGATGGAGGACCTTAAAGCTGGAAGGGTAAGTCCACAGCATTATGCCCGACTTTGATGAAATATAATCTCATTGACGTCTCCATTCGCTGCAGGTGATCAAGCCGGTGTTGTCATGGGATGGCATTTGAAGCGCGGTCCCCGAATAAGACCATAAAAAGCAACGCACGCGCCGATGACCTTTTTTCTTTCTCTTTTCCTTTTTCTTCACGTTCGTATGGATACCATTGAGCGCCGGAGCTATGTACCTCGTTTTTATTGTCGAATTATAGCACGATTTTAACGAATTTCATTATCTTTAATTGTTTTCTGAGTACTCCGTATCCTGAAATGATAGTACTGGACTGGAGTGAATTCCGGGCATCACACAGAAAGCTTGACCTCCAGTTTCTCCACAGGGCTGCGCTTGTCCATCGGCGATTATTACTTAACCAGTCTGGACTCAAGACAGGCCAACCGCTTTACAGTTCTCCCGTTACTCCGTATTGTGTTTGCTTTATTTGACAACCAAGGATTGTGTGTTCCCACCCCGCGTCTGGGCCGACCGTTCAGTTCGCCCGGGCCCGATATTGGACCAGGTTGACACGGCCGATAAGGGGGTTACAGAAGCGTCAGACATGATATTCTGCGATTGGGCCGAGCTTTGGATGGTCAACTACTCCGTACTCCGTATTCCGAACTTATCAACTATGTAGTTGTCGTGGTGATCATGCAGTTTGGGGATCCTCAAGAATCATTGCATCCCGCCAAACTGTGATTGGCCATGAGAAAGTTTCGGCTCTTTTGAGTTTTGCAGGGACTGGGGAGCTCTGGCCCCCCGGAAAGCAGGGGGAGGGAGTTACAGTATTCGTAGGTGGGAGGAGTTTTGGCTGGCCTTCCCCTCACGACGACGACGAGTATTTTAGCAGACTACTCCATACTCCGTCGAGGGCGAAAGCGACGGCGCGAGAGTCGCAGCTCAGAACAGGACACAGTTACATGTGAGTTCTTCTCTATTCCTTAACGACTTGGCGTCTAGTGGGGGGAAGTCGGCCGAGAAAGGGACGCGTCTATGGGGAGTTTTTTACCGCTTTTGTTGCTCGGCAAGCTGGCGGCTGTGTCGCGACCCTGCGTTTGCCGTGCAGGACAAAAGACGAAAGCGGTCAGCGAACCGTCTGCTTCATCCATGTCTCACTCTCTCGCGGGGTTTTGTACGGTCATCCCTGTACTGCATACAAGCACACAAACATGCGTGCATTACTCTGTACATACATGGTCTACATTGTCCATCCAAGTGGCCTTCTCGGTCCCCTGCTGTTGCTACCTTTCGGCCGTGGGGCACTCCGTAACTATAAAAAAAACCTACAAACGGAGGTACGGAGGACAAAGGATATGCTGTATGGCTGGGCGGTGTGGCTAGTGCGCCAAACTTTCCCCCCATGAAAGGCGAGCGTCTGCCGAGGTAGCCGCCAGATCCGGACTAGCGCGCCCAGCCCTGTGGCGCAGACTCACCCTGGTCCTTGAGGCTTTGGCCCAAAATGCTGACTCCGCCAGCCCGTCCTGCTTTCCCGATGCGGTCGCTCTCGCTTTCTTCTCTTTTTTCTTGATGCTGGTTGCCTCCTTCCAATTCTCCGCTCTTTCCTCAGGTCAACTCACTTCTCTCGGTCTGTTGAATTTATTTCTTTTTTTAATATAAAATCACTCTTAACCCGCCCTTAATCCACTTAACCCGCTTTAACCTTCTTCCTCTCTCACAGACTTAAGCTTAAAAAAAAATTAAGGTAAATAGAAGATAACTTTGACAGCGAATTGGAAAACATCTATTTTTTATTTTTTATTTTTTTTGTTTGGTTCCAATCCCTCTCTCTTCTTCTCGCACGAGAACGGCCATCCAAAACTCTCAGTTAAAAGCCATCCAAGTCTGGCCCACCGCATATTCTGGACACACCTTCGCCCATAAATAATACCTTCTTCTCTCGTCCTCTTCCTCGTCCTCTTGGGGGCTCAGGTCCATGAATCTACATACTCCGTACATCCATTCACTCGTTCATCTGGGCTTTGCTCGCGGCATCTTCGCCGTCCAGCTACCATCCTGAGATAAGATAACCCCATCCTTGGACTCGACCATTCCTTGTTACAGAGTACATACATATATGTATATATATATATACCGTCCGGCGTCGCATATAGAGTAGCGTTTATCTGCGCCAATTCCATTCTCCACCCGTCCCTGGAGTCAGGACCTTTTAACTCTGTTCCCGGTTGCTAGTCGGTGCGCCGTCCGTCGGAATGACCAACAATCGTCTCACCGGGCCTGAAGTCGCCAGGCACAACTCTGCAGATTCGTGCTGGGTTATCGTCCACGGCAAGGCCTACGACGTCACAGATTTCCTCCCCGGTGAGTGGCCTTGTGCCTGAATGCCCTCGAATCGCCGCACACCGTCACTCCCTTGCTCACACTCCCCTTATCAGAACACCCCGGTGGCCAGAAGATCATCCTCAAATATGCCGGAAAAGACGCAACCGAAGAGTTCGAACCCATCCACCCTCCAGACACCCTCGACAAGTACCTCCATCCCTCAAAGCATCTCGGGCCCGTCGATATGAATACCGTCATGCAGGAAGACAAGGGCGTCGACCCGGAAGAGGAGGCACGTCAAGAACGAATAAGGCGGATGCCCTTGCTCGAGCAATGCTATAACCTGATGGATTTTGAAGCCGTCGCATGCAGGGTCATGAAGAGAACCGCCTGGGGCTACTACTCGAGTGGTGCCGATGACGAAATCGTATGGCCAAAGCACACCCCCTTCCCCCCCCCCCCCCGACCCTTCACATCTCATCGTCGGTACGCTGACATAGGGCAAATAAAAACTAATTTTTGCATCCACAGACCATGCGCGAGAATCATTCTGCTTTTCACAAGATCTGGTTCCGTCCTCGAATACTAGTCGACGTTGAGAATGTTGACATCTCCTCGACCATGCTGGGCGCCCCTGTTTCCGTCCCGTTCTATGTTACCGCCACTGCCCTCGGCAAACTTGGCCATCCCGAAGGTGAAATCTGCCTCACCAAAGCTGCCGCAACCCACGACGTCATCCAGATGATCCCAACCCTGGCATCCTGCTCCTTCGACGAGATTGTCGATGCCGCGATGGACAAGCAGACCCAATGGCTGCAGTTATACGTAAACAAGGATCGTGAAGTGACACGGAAGATTGTGCAGCACGCTGAGAAGCGAGGTTGCAAGGGCCTGTTTATCACCGTCGATGCCCCGCAGCTGGGTCGACGGGAGAAAGATATGCGGTCCAAGTTCTCCGACCCTGGAACAGATGTCCAACGGACCGACAGCAATGTAGACCGGTCCCAGGGTGCTGCGAGGGCCATCTCCTCTTTCATCGACCCTTCCCTTTCCTGGAAGGATATCCCGTGGTTTCAATCCATTACCAAGATGCCTATTGCGTTGAAAGGAGTGCAGCGCGTTGATGACGCCCTCCGTGCCGTCGAACTTGGTGTCCCTGCCATCGTTTTGTCAAATCACGGCGGTCGACAGCTCGAATTTGCGCCGTCTGCGGTTGAGCTCCTGGCCGAGGTTATGCCGGCCCTACGAGCCCGCGGATGGGAGAATCGCATAGAGGTCTACATAGACGGTGGTATCCGACGGGCCACAGATATCATCAAAGCCCTGTGTCTCGGCGCAAAGGGAGTTGGGATCGGTCGGCCATTCCTCTATGCCATGAGCACATACGGAGTGCCCGGCGTTGAGCGCGCGATGCAGCTGCTCAAGGACGAGATGGTGATGAACATGAGATTGCTGGGTTGCACGAGCGTCGACCAACTGACTCCCGACCTACTCGATATTCGAGGTTTGGGACATCATTCCGTGCCAAACCCCGTGGATAGGCTTGCGGAGTCGGTCTATGACCCGCTGGTTACGCCGTCAGATAGGCCTCCTGCGTCAGTTGGTGGTGGGTCGAAGTTGTAGAATATTCAGCTAATAGTGATGCTGGCCTGATTTTTGAGCTTGAGCGTTTCTCGTTTGGTTTATGCTACATATTAATCTGCCACTGGCGTTACTGGCGCGGCCTCTTTTTTTTTTTTTTTTTTTTTTTTTTTGTGTTTTCTTTTTTTCTGTTCTGTGGATGCTTAACTACCCTGTAAATGCCATCATAATGAGAATTGCTCCGTACGTGAGAGTGACCTCCATCCTCTTAACCTCTCCATTCCCTTTCGCAACCTGAAGGTTCTCATGATTGGAAATTGTTCTTGTCATTAGCTTACCATCCTTTCGTTTCGCCTGCGCTTGAGGCTGGTCGTGTTGATTATATAATCATATTTCGTCGACTGGCTGGCCAGCTTCACTCCCAGCGATGTGATGAGGCAGAACTCCGGACGTGATTTTACTTCCAGCAAAGCACCCGCCATGTCTCTTGCCGACTACCTAGCCAAAAACTACCTCACGGCAGATTCTTTACATGGCTCTGACCGTCCCAAAAAGAAGCGCAAAAGGAACAAACACGCTGAAGAGACGGACGGGCTTATAATAGCAGACGATGACCCTCCAGACCTCCGGTCGGCTTCTACCACTCAGCAGAAGTCCCGCCGAGGATTTGGATACGACGACGATGACGATGACATGGGACTGGAAGCTACAATAGCGGGTTCGTCTAAAGAATTCAAAAAATCCAAATCGAAATGGAAAACCGTCGCTGGACCCACCGCGCCCACCAACGCAGAACAACTCGCCGCTGACGCAATCCTAGCTTCTGCGGCTGCCGAACGGACGGCACGGGCGGAGGAAGAAGAAGACGAGAAGCCGATGGTTGTGGATAATGATGATCGTGAAGATGAAGTGCTTAGGATGGAATCTGGGGCGCGTGCTGGCCTACAGACCGCCGCTCAGACTGCAGCCATGGTCGCTGCGCAGGAACGAAAACATGCCAAGGATGCTGCCTCGATGCGGAAAAGGCAAGCCAAGGGGGAGGAAGCAGAGACTATATATCGTGACGCGTCGGGTCGTATTATCAATGTTGCTATGAAGCGCGCGGAAGTACGAAAAGCTGCGGAAGAAGCGGCGGCCAAGGAGGCGGCGGAGAAAGAAGCCCTGACGGGTGACGTGCAGAGAAAACAAAAAGAAGAGCGGAGGAAATTGATGGAGGACGCCAAGTATATGCCGCTGGCACGTACGGCGGAAGACGAGGAATTAAACGCGGAGCTCAAGGCGAGAGAGCGTTGGAATGATCCTGCTGCCCAGTTTTTGACCAAGCCATCTGCGACGAGTGCTGGTGCGAAAAAAATGTACAAAGGTGCTGCGCCGCCTAACAGGTATGGGATTCGTCCTGGGCATAGATGGGACGGGGTGGACCGGAGTAACGGCTTTGAAAAGCAGTGGTTTGATGCTAGGAATCGGAGGGAGAGGAATGAAGGCCTGGCATATGCATGGCAAATGGATGAGTGATTACTTATTACCTCCCTCACCCATTAAAGGTCTATTTCAGGTCGACCCACCATTTGAACGGTACATTGTCATATGTGATACAACCGGATATATGATGCCCTAAAAGATATTGGTCGAGGTGCTCTGGGAGATAAATGGTGCGAGCCACTTATGCTTGAATAACTATGAGATATACGACGCTTGCACTGGCATTGTGCTGGCAAGGTGAAAAAAAGTGAACCAGGACAGGAAGCAATATCGGTCTTGGGGCAAAAGCAGGACTTGAACAGCTCTCCGACAAATTACGTTCGGTGGCTCTTGCAAGGGCCTAAAGAGCGTATTTACCAGCTTGATTGGGGAGGAGATGTTTACCAAGTGTTCCAAAATGAAGAACGCGTGTCTTCTCGGAATATGGTTATTATACACGATTGTACGGAGTAGTTCTCCCTCTTTGGGATGGGGTATAAACCCCTGTCAAGATCACAAGAAGAGATATCTAGCCTTGAAAAGTAATCCAACTCGCTGTCTCTGTGTTTGGTAAAAGAAGCCTCTTGGATGCAACCTTGGGATGATCTTGAGGGTGCGTCAAAGTTACACCTGTTGACATCCCTATACCAGGCTCTAGACCTTTCGGCTGCAAGGGTGCTGTAATCCGTCGGACTCTTGTTTATGCCGACTAGAGTTATCGCTGTTGGCGAAGAAGTACTAGGCAAACGTTGGAAGGCATGACAGTAGTAACCATCGATGGAAATCAACTACCGCCATACGCGGAGTACTTCATAATACTGTGGAAAACGTTAAGTGAGATATCAGTGTATGTAGCTGGAAACGGCATGGATCTGAATTATACAAATCGGTCGTGAAAAAGGGGAAAAAAAAAAGAAGCAAAAGGAAAAGAATTCATCAAATCGGCACTGTAACTTACGACAAATAGCGACATGGCAACTCCGACCATCCTGCCTCACGCTTCGCCATTTAGTTATATCAAAAATATACGCGGTACAAAATGAGATGCGAAAAAGAAGAAAACCACCATGCAAGACCGAAAGGAAGGAGAATCAAGGAAACGCAACTAGAGAAGGGGAACCGGGGAAATGGGTAAACTTGCAAGCAATCAAGAGAGAGAGAGAGAGAGAGAGAGACATGAATACATCGTAATCATCCAAATCGTCAAATCTTCTTTAGATGGAGAGACGAAAGATAACCGTGCGGGAGAATGGTGCAAACCTAACACCATCCCAACCCCATCCAATCCTATTCCTATACTTTCATATGCCATTTTTCTGTCACTTAATTTCATCGCATCGTCAAACGCGGAAAACCCCCAACACCAAGGCGGACATGAATCAACCACAGCTAATCTATTTATCTAAAACCGTCTGCTGCATGCAATGTGATGTGGCTGAGGGCGGTCGACCAAGTGGAAGCCGACCCGAACACATATGCAATTCAAGGGAAAAGAGAGGAGGAGGGAAAGAAAAGAGAGCATAAGCCACGTAGAGAGAATGAGTGCACGCTGAATCCAATATATAGAAAATAGAAATTGGATCACTGCAATATTATTGCTCTTTCTCAGAAGAGTACCCCTATGACAGTTCTAGGAGAAGTGAGCAAGATAGTCGAGATACCTCGGGAGAAGGCGGGTGATAACTGTTCATGAAAGGGGGAAAAAAAAAGAATCAGAGTGAAGCGGCTGGAGCATGGGGATTATTTCGCAGCCAGAAGCAAAAGAAATCATGAATAGGTTTGTTCTACCTCTTCTTAACTTCTGATGCCCAACCGGCGATACCCTCACCCCTACTTCCAACAGGAACGTTCAATTGAATGTGGTCCATCCCCTTTGTGCTCTTGAGATACGGGTGATTCGCCATACCGCCGGCATTTGCCCTTCTATCGGGTACCAACTCTAGCATTGGCAAGAGAAAATCGGAGATGGCTTTGCTCTCTTCAGCTGGGAAGTGGTACTTTTCTCGAAGGACGTCGGGCAGAGCCCAATGACGGAGCCGATGGATGTGGCGAAGTTCACCTTTTCGATTGAAAATCTCTTGACTCCACTTGCCGGATAAACACATGGATTTGGGGAATGAACCGAGGAGTTCGATGATCTGGGCGATGTGGTCATCGTCTTTTCCGTACTTTGTACCCGATTGAGGGTCAAAGAGGTAATCTCCTGTGATAAGTTCGAAGACCTGAATGGTGCGTCAGATGCACAAGTAATAAATGAAAAGGCCAGCCGGTGTGGGGGATTTTCTTTTTTTGCCTACCATTGCCGCCATGCTCCATACGTCCGTGCTAGCACCCCATTTCGCACCGAGAATGACTTCTGGTGACCGGTACTGCCGCGTTTGAATGTCATTCGTGAAATGGTGTCCGACCCAGCAAGCATTTCCCAAATCCGCGATCTTAACGGAGATCAAGTCGACTTGTGGGTCATCTACTTCCGGCGTGGAGCCCGTCTCTAGGGTAATTCCTGAGACTTCACGCTCCAGGATGTCACTGCCAGCTTGTTAGCTATCAAAAGGCGCGCAGGTGACGGGTGTTTTGGCCATGGTTTGCTCCTACGTTGTCTTCTCTCTTTGCTTCTGTTTCTCATCAGCGATCTTTTCCGCGTCCTTGATGCCAAGTCGATCTTTCATAGAAACGCCTGAGGGAGTGGCTGTATCGAAGAGGAAGAAAAAAGAGACCGTAAGCTTATATTCGTGCCTAAATTGGATTTTTTTTTTTTTTTTTTTTTTTTTTTTTTTTTGTTTGTTTGTTTTTTTTTTGGGGGGGGGGGGGGGGGGGGGGGGGAATAATTGGGGGTAAGAGAAGCTTTACCTGTAGGCTCCTGTAATACTTGATTTAGGCTGCTATGGGAGCTGAGGGTTGGGGTATGCGCTTTAAACGGGTCGGCGGCGCTGAAGCTGGTGTTGAGGGGACTGGGAAGGGGCTGACTGCCTGTGATGAGGGTCCGTCTCCTCCTGCGGCCGTTGCGGTGATCATCTTTCTCCTTCTGCGCCTCCTCTTCCTTGACATAAGTTTTGACGATATGCTCGACATCGCCGATCTCGATCAAGACGTTTTCAGGCTTCAGATCAGTGTGGATGATGCCACATTCACGGTGCAGATAGTCCAGACCCAGCAAGACCTGCTTTGTGATCTGCTTGACCAGAGGCATTGGGATGCCGCGATGGTTCCAGCGCTTGATCAGACCAAGCAGATTCTCACCGAGGACCTCAAAGACCATGCAGACGTGGACGCCGTTCGGACCTCTGTGCTCGAAGGAATCTAACAGGCTGACGACGTGTTTGCGACCGGGGTGGTCGGGCCTGGCATCGACAATTCTCTTGAGGAGCTTGATCTCATCGATGGCGGTCTCAGTGTAATGGGCGGCGGAGCGCACGACCTTCAAGGCGACGTGCTTGCCGGTCGTGGTATCTCGCGACAGCCAGACGGTGGAGAAGTGGCCCCAGCCGAGCTTTCGGATGACGACGTAGCGGCCGTTGTTGTAGGTCTCACCGACCTGGACGGGGTGGTAGCCGCCCTTGCAGTAATCCTCGGAGTCCTCCTCATCAGCGGCGGTTTCGGCGAGTTCTTCTGCGGAGGAGGAAGAGGACGGGGAGCGCGAGAGGGGGGAGGCGTAGGTGGTGGAGACGGGATACTGTGCGGACGAGAGAGGGTTGCTGGCGGGGAGGTCAGTCGCTACCCAAAAATGTCGGACAGCAGCAGGAGGAGGAGGAGGAGGGTATAGATCGGGGATGGGCAGGGGACGACATTGGTCTTTCGAGAGGTGGTGATGGGATCTGGCGGAATAGTGGCTTCTGAGGGCAAGGAAGAGGGACATGATCATGGATTGAGAGAGGGAGAATGGGATGGGGGGGACAGTTGGGAGATGGATCGGGAAGACAGAGGGGATGGATTTATTGCTTACCTAGATTGCGAGGTCATGTTGATCGAGGCGGAGGATGGGTTGGCGGCGGCGGCGGCAGAGGGGGGGTCGTTTGTGATGATGGGTTTCAGGTCAGCTTTTCTCCTCTTCTTGCCCGGGGTCCCGTTGGCGGCAAAGGGGAGGGAGGAGAGATGCTCCGGGCTGGAGACGGCGGCGTGCCTGATGTCATCCCCATCCATGGTGGCCCTGGAGGCGAGCAGAACGGGGTTGTCTGTGGGACGGAGAGGAGCAGCAGGATAGAGAGGGTGTGCGGGGCGACAGAGAGGGAGCAGAGTTTGAGGTTGAAACTCTGGAGCTGGACGAGACTATTGGTGGGTGGCGGGCGGGAGTTGAAACATTGGGGGGAAGAAGAGAAGTATGATAGCCACGGGGGGGCAGCGGGTAGGGTCTGGAGGGGAGGATGGAAGCAAGAGTGAGTAGCAGCAGCCAAGGTCTGAGAGGTTCTGGCAGCGAGGGCGAGAGAGAGTAGCGTGAGAGAGAGCGAGAGGGAGAGAGAGACAGAGAGAGGAGCGAGGCGCTGGTCCGGTCGTCTTGCAAGGGTGGGCGGCTAGGAGACCAACCTTAAAAAAAATAAAAGAGGAGGACCAACAAACAAATAAATGGGCCAAACGCAGGTCCCCTTGTTCTTCTTCTATCAACGACAAGTTAACAATGGAGAGATATTCAAAGGAGACAAGAGAGACACAGAGACAGAGAAAAGACAGAGAAAAGAAAGAGAAAAGACACGAAGAGAGACGGAAGAGAGATGGAAGAGAGGTTATCACGACGGTTTTTTTGATGAAAAAGCAGTTGAAAGAAAAAAAAAAAAAGAGAACAAGTTATGTAAGCATCGCCTTTTTTTTTTCTTCTTTTTTTTTTAAAAGATCATTCTTCTTCTTTTCTAAGATTCTTTTTTGTTCTTTTGATTCTTTCTTTTTTTTTTTTTTTTTCCCTTCTCCTTTGGCCTGGACAAAGGACAATCGGCTGGGCGTGTGGCTGCCGTGTCGTCCGTCTGGTTGTCTGTTGGGCAGCCAACTTTGCCCTCGAACTGCAACGAGTCGTAGTTTTAAAACTAGTTTGGTGATGGGTTTGGGTGATGCTGTCATTGCGCAAGTTAGCTTTTGGTAGCTTTTTTTTTTGGTTTCTTTTCCTCTCGACCTTTACTCTCCGTAGCACAAACAGTACATCCCCATCATGCAGAGTTAATTACTTATGCGTACCAGCGTTGGTTGAGCCCAGGCCATAGCTGCTGGTTGACCTCACCGTGTCAAGTCGGGAATCAAAAGCCATTGTAGCGTTGTTCCGTCCGGCTCACAAAGCGCCAATTCCCCACACCACCATTCCGTCCAGAGGAACCGGGGGGAGTCGTATTAAATATATCGATCGTCGAGAGATACTCAACACGCGGAAGATGGGCCCCTTCGACCCGCCCTCCCTGGCTACTCAGTTCCTCGCCTCCCCGCTGCTCTTCATCCTCCGCCCCGTCTACGGCATCCTGTCCTCAGTCCGCCCCGACCCCTATACCCGCTCCCCTTCCCAGCAGCCCGTCCGCGTTGTGTGCATCTCCGACACCCACACCCTCCAGCTGTCCAGCGTCCCCGATGGCGACCTGCTCATCCACTCCGGTGACCTCACCAACGCCGGATCGCTTGACGAGATCCAGAAGGCCGTTGACTGGCTCAGGACCCTGCCCCATACACACAAGGTTGTCATCGCCGGGAACCACGACAGCTGGTTTGATCCGGACGCCAGGTCGCTCGTCCCGCCCTGCCCCGACCGCGAGGCCGTGGACTGGGGGGACATCCACTACCTCGAGAACACCTCTGTCGTCCTGTCCTTTGGCTCGCGCACCCTCAAGGTCCACGGTGTGCCCCAGATCCCCCAGCTGGACCCGGCCGTCCCGTCCGTCCACGCCTTTCAGTATTCGCCGTGGTCCAGGTGCGACCCGTGGCCCAGCCCTATCCCGCTCGACACCGACATCTTGATCTCCCACAGCCCTCCCCGCCATCATGGCGACGTGTTCCCCCACTCCGTCGGCTGCCGTTTCCTGCTCGAGGCCGCCTGGCGTGTCCGCCCCGCGCTGTATGTGTTTGGACACGCCCATGCCGGCCGCCGCGTGGAGAGGGTCTACTACGACGACTCCCAGCGCGCATTGGAGGCCATGGCTGAGCGTCGCTGCGAGTCTGGCTTGCTGTGGGATCGCGGTTTTAGATCGTGCGTCTGGTGGTTCTTCCACGGAGGGCTGTGGCGAGACATGGTCAGTGTGTTCTGGGCCTGGAAGGATGCCCTCGTCGTTCTCTGGAGCGCCGGGAGGTCGATCCTCTGGACCCGGATCTGGTGCGGACAACGTTCGCTGGGTAGGGAGGGCTGGATGGTCAACGCTGCGTGCATGGACGGTCGAGGGAGTGGATTGCTCACGGGCCCCGCGACCGTGATCGATCTCTGAGGGAAGATGCCGTGTCTACCAGGCCAACGTCGCGACTCTTGTTTGTTGGGCCTTGTTGATGTCTCGTGATCCGCCCCTGCTTTTGGTAGCGTTGATCCTCACAATGGAAAAAGTCTCAGGATACATCCTCGAGCTCCATACGAGCCGAGATTTTTTTTTTTCAAGAGATGCTTAGGATGAGTGCAAGCACTTAAAGTCACCTCACTCTGCCTGAGTTCGCTTCCAGAGAGGCTCCTCACTCAACCCGTATGCCTTCCCCCCCTTTCTAATCATCAAAAGGCCCGCCAGAAAGCTCCCTTTCCTGAACTCGTTGCTCAACCTTGAATTGTCTTTTGTCGGCTGCGATCCTCCTGCTGATCGCTCCCTTCTGGGATACCTTGTCTAATAGAATCTGAGAAAAAAGAAAAAAGGCCACATCACCCAGAGACAGTCTACTTCGCCGTTCTCGTCATGGCCAATCGTATGAACCGAGCTTCGCGACTCCCTCGATTTCTCATGAGCAATGCAGTCAGCGAGCGCGATGGGCCCGATTGGATGGATGGCATTGCGACCCTCGACTTCGACTCCTTCCCGCCTTTCCAGCATGTAATCCCCGAACCGCTGCTGGCGGCAACTAATCTGCCTCCATATTACCGCTTGCTGTGCGATGAGCAGGTAACTGCGCTTTTGTCTTGGGCTTCAAAGGGAAATATCTCCAAAGAATTGTTGGGATTGTACTGGCCGGGGGATTTCAACGGTGATGGCAAAGTGAAGCGCAACCGCCGTCCCTGGAGATACGGGGACAACAAGAGCCTTGCCGCGAGGCCAGTTTACTGGACTTTTCAAAGTTCCGGAAGACCAATGCAAGGAATGAAGCTGCTGTCGCCCACCGAGCACGAGGAAAACGAGGATAAAAAAAGAAAGGCAGAAGGCCCCGATGGCAAGAGACCTTCCAAGCTAGTCCTGCTCCGCGATGAGCGGGATAGCGAAAAGATAGTTGAACTCCAGTACGAAGTCGACCAGCTGCAGGCTGCCCTGAAACGCTCCCAGGCAAAACAGCAAGGGCTACTTTCGCAGATGGACCAAATCGAAACTGCAATGTCGGTGCGCTCGGAACTCGTCACAAACGCGATAGTCAACTATCACTTGTCCATGGTCAACCTTCAGATCCTCTCTCCTGCGATCTCTTCTCTCGTGGATGAAACCGTCTCTGCGGATGATATCGCCGAGGCGGCTGGGGGCCATGCTACCCTTGATCATCGAGTTCGAGTGGTGAAGGAAGTGGCAAAGCGGCTTAAGATACCGGTAAACATTCTCCCTGGTGATATGGACGGGGAAGAAGTAGATAATGCTCATCTTAACGCCCTCTATCGCACCTAAATGATAGGAGAGCTTTGCAGGGAGGATCCATTAGCTTGTGAATCTTAGATAGGATTGTTGATGTGCTGAAATACATAGGGCGGTTGTGCCTGCTTAACGCAAAGGAGTGAGAGGGGGCTGTTTGGTACGTCCTTAGGGTTGCTTCGGAATTTTAAGGATGAATGGGCTTGACATTAAAGGATTGGTGTCCTGGTTTCTTTGGGCTGCTGGAAGGAGAGATATTGATGGCTGAACTGGCGAGCATAAACAACCTGGATCTGTAGCTCTTTTAAGACCATAAGATCGATCCTGAACAATGTCTAGAAAATTTGAGCAGCATAAGCTCACAATTGTTCCTTACCCAAGGCGGTCCTGAAAAACATCCGTAGAAAAAAGGGCGTTGAATCCCCAACAGAGCCGGATTGTTCGCAAGGCTTTATGCTCGCCCTTAACAAGGACCCTTCTCTGTTGTCTGTATCCTCACATGGTAAGGGTGATCAGATATTGACTGTCTTGCGTGGGATGTTATTCTCCCCTCGTACCACCCCATTCCCCCTCCCTAACTACAATCTAAATGCAACCTCGAGATGGCCCGAAGCGACGAAGCAGAATGGTGGTTTAACGCCGTGTACGCAGCTATCCAGCAGATCCCTCGTGGCAAAGTTACTTCTTATGGGCATATTGCTCGTTTGCTCGGGGAGCGTAAGTTACAATGATTATCAATTTTACTTGACCAGCGCAATTCTGACGATCCTCAAGCCCAACGATCGCGCCAGGTTGGCGTGTGTTTGAAGCATCTTCCATCTGAGAATAATGAAGAGGACGGGCCACGCCATTTCTATCACGATGGCAACGTTCCATGGCAGAGAGTGATTAATGCAAAAGGGATGATCTCGCATCGGTATGTGTCTTCGAGTCGGGCTGTCCTTGGAGGCTCACTCCAGGCAGCATCACACGCTCTGACTCAACAATGTCCATCGCTTGCCGGTGACGATCCGTATGAACTGGGGCCATTCGTCCTCTGACTCACTTTTTTTGAACGAATAGAGGACCCGGCTCAGCTGCGCGCCAAGCAGCCGCTCTCGAAATTGAGGGGGTGACGGTTACGGCGGATAGTATGGGCGAGTTTTATGTTGATTTCAGCGAGTTTGGATGGTTCCCGGATCACCTCCCAGGGGAAGAGACCAGCGACGAAGAGCAAGGCGGCAATGAGAGCTGAGTGAATCTGGAGCGCGGGAGAGCTTACTATTGAATGTGGTTGCCCCGAAATGGGCATGCGCATTGATGCGTCAATTGACTTGCAATAATAGGGTTAGTTATATAATGCTCGCTAGGTGGTTTACTGAGTCGACTTTTGTCGGCTTTCTGTCAGAGGACCCATCCGAGGAGAGAAACCGTTGCAAGAAGAGCTGATTATCTTGTTTTTGATAACGAGTTACTTACCAGTGAGAGCTATCATGTGCGACCATTTGAGTGAAGCAACTATCCTGGATCACTCCATCTGTGGTACAGAACAGTTGCTGGTTATTTGGTTAGCTAATTACGGAGTACAGAGTAGAGGGTTGTAGTGACATGATTAACTAATGACGTGATGGTCAATGCTTCGTTCGCAGCATTCCCAAAAGACATTTTAGGATAGATTCAATATTCTTCCCTCCATGGGAGAAGAGCGAGTAGGGGATCTCAGATACGGACTCGGCACTCTCGACACTCCAGGACTAAACGCTAAAGGTCTGATTAAAGAAGTTTGGAGTTTGTGTCACAACGGTTACTTAACTATCAACCGCAAGGCTGGGGACACGCCGAGCCTGGCGTGAGAGGAAGTTGCGCGAACTGTCAACTACCGAGGACAATTAATACCCAAGCCTAACCCCATGCGAAGTGTTTTCGAAAGACTTAGGCTGCCCGGCCTCCCCAGCAGGAGGAGGAGGGAAAGCCGTGAGCAGCTGTCTCGTTTTCCGTTGCTCTCGCTCCCGCCCGAAATTCGCGAGGAGGTTTACCGATTCTACTTCGGCCCAGAAGCCATCCACCTGGCCAGTGATCAGGGAAGAATCACCAGCTATCGATGCAAGCAAACGGATCCATCCCCCGTCTCGGATTGTTGCACGCGACCGTATTGTATTGCTTACTTCCAAACTGCCGCCAGTGAGAACGATGGGAATTCGCGAGTAAACACCGCTCTGCTCTACACATGCAGGCAGATATACCGTGAAGCCTCAGCAATGCTTTACAGGTCGGTGATTTTCCAGACCAATGCGATGGTCACCTGGGTTCTCTTTGCTGGAATGATATCACCCGGGCATCTGGCAATGGTTAAAGGGCTGCGGGCTTGTTGGATAGCTTTACCGTGCTTGACCATGGCGCCCATCCCACCCAACGACCCCAGATACCCTGAATATGAACACTACACCGTCTTCATGGATGGGCATTTTCGAGAGTTTTGGGAAATCCTGGGCAGCCGAATGTCGGGTCTACAGGATCTGGGCTTTGTGATGGACTATACTGGACAGTTTTTGTCTCGGGCAGTGACGGCAGAATGGCACCGCCAGCTTACAAAGGTGACGGGCTTAAAGAGGCTCGACCTCCAGATCTGGGATACTTTTGGCGGTGCACAATGGCAGACCGGAAGGGATGAGGCTAAGGCAGCGGCGGAGATGGAGGTTCTGATGGAGTACCTGAAGAAGCGAATGTGCTCGAGAGCTCGCTGTGAAGTGTCGTCGTAACAGGTGCAACTTGGGATCGAGGAAATCGGCCTTGCCAGGTAAGACCGTAGAGTTGGCCACTGGGCGTCACCTCAAGGGCGATCGACGATGGCTCTTGGATGCATCGGGAGATATCTCTGGGACGTCTTCGGGTTGTGGCGGGAAGTGGTTGCATCGCCGCAGCCAATGGCCGGATAGAAAAGTTGACGTGGAAGGCTCGGATGCTTCCTTTGCTGATTTGTAAATAGCGAGATGGAGATGGCTGGTTAAGTTAGTATGGAAGTGGGATGGTGTGTCAGCGTGGATGAGCGCCCGGCTGGTGAGGAATATCGAGCGCAGAACCACTCGGGTAGTAAGTACTGGGCATGAAGTTCGAGCGTTGCATATTCCATGCAGATGCAGGTCTGAAACTTGGTTCGCATAACACTCACGCCTTGAGAGATCCGGACAACAGCGAACGCAACCGCCAGGCCAACCAACCACAGGAGCGTGCTGGAAGGGGAGGGAACAGAGCTGAGCCAAGCCTCGCGTTTGCACGGGAGAGCATTTCCCACGCAGACAGGTGTTTATCGCTCTCTGCTGGTGGACGTGATAAACATGTATGTACTCGATGTTCCACGGGCGAGTCCGACGCCTTCTCTTGGAACTTCGAATAGGTTCGTTGGTGTTGGGGTTCTGGGGGAGTTCAGGAGCGTTTGCGTCCGCAGGATGGGTCTGAAGCATCACCGGGTCATTCTTGCGGCCTGGAAACACACGATGTAGCTCGGCAGTCTCCAAGGCAGCAGCATCATCCAGCTCGAGCCTGCATCCGTTGCCCGCTGCTGGTTGTGATCGTTCGTTCGTTGCGATTTGCCCGTAATGTTTCCGCCCCTTGAGCTGGGTTCTATATCGAAGGTCCCTCCCCTTCCCTCACGGAGTCCTCCGGAGGTACTTCGAACAATCCCAACGCCGTAATTACCACTGTATTTGTTTTGTTCGTCCCAAGAGCAAGCCACGTCGATGACTCAGCCAGGCACCGCCCCCGCTAAACACCGAAAGCGGCTAGAGTGCCTTGGCCACAACCCCCCACTACGCTAAACCAGTTACGGTCGCCGAGGTGGAGCAGGTGACTCAATTTGGATGACTAACAAACCTTATACTGCGATGACGTAATGCCTCGTGCGGGTGTTTCCAAGAAAGGGGAGTACATTGGAGGTACCTGCGTGTTCCAGTGCAAGTCTGCCGCAGCCCGCCGCAGCCTGGAAGGTACTTACCCCGGGAGGGACACCCAGGTTTTAACAACAAACCACCTTGGAAAAGACGCAAGGCGCCGGCCCCCCTTCCAACACACCCCCCCGGGGCACAGGCACCACTCCGTCCCGGCAGCCGGCAACAGGCAGGGCATGCGGCCGAACGACAGGCGCAGAACCTCCCGAGACACATCCCCCTTGTGACTCTTGATTACCATTTATTTATTCTTGTCCGTGTCTCTTCCGCTCGAGACCCGAAGGCTAGTTTATCTATCACGCACTAGACCGGCCAACTGACTCACTCACTCTTTCTCTCACACACCTTATCAGCCAGTCAACCTTGCTATTGGTTTGGTATTTATGTGTGTGTACGGAGTATACATATATATAAACCATCCTCTGCCCTGACCCGGAGTCTTCTGTCTTTCCCCTCCCCAGGCCACAGATAGCCCGGAGCATCTCATTCACCTCACCACATTCTGCAATCCCCACACCCCGTGGTCCCTCTCTCTCTCTCTCACACATTCACACACACTCCTCTCTCTCTCTCTCTCTCTTGCTTAGTTCCACCCCTCCCTCGCCTTCCTTCAGCTCGTGCAAGTCCCAAGCAACGATATTATGGCTGGCTCTACACTCATTCTTCCTACCACAGACGTCCGGTACACCGCCACTCAATCCAAGAGAGACCACGACCAAAAGGCGAAATGGGCACGTGGCTCACGTCCCGGCATGGGCCAGCCGTGGGAAGGCTATACCACTGTACGACCGGTGTTGCCTCTCGCAAAATCGTTAGTTGATCCGCTCGCCCTGCTCACCCCTTTCTGCCTCTACTCTGGCCGATTCCATCGAAAGCTGATATCTTTTTGTTTTCCCCTGTGCCGTAATAGCAAGGTGGATCGAAAAGCCCACATCGTCACTCTCAAGCGCCAGGCCATCCCATCCAAGAATCCTCGGTCGCACCTCCGTTCTGTCTACTACGAGGACATGAGGGAGGCCAGCGATCTTTCGGACACCCTCGACGACATGGGCTCTGGCCCTAGCCCAAGCTCTCCAGCCGGTGATGTCGATGTCTTTTATTCCTTCGACGCTAGAACCGGACCTCGAGCAGGTGAACACCTCCTGTCAGTGGCTCTAGAGAGGGCGGTCGAGCGGTTTGAGACCAAGGAAACGGAGAAACTTGTCCGGGAATATGACTTCGTAGACGAACGCGAATCAACCGATGGTGGATATGCCGCCAACGACGATGACTATGAATTCATAGATCGCGCCACACTTTGATCAGGCCGCTCTACGGTTTCACTTAGTTCCTTTCGCTTCCGTTTTTCCCAGTACGTGCTGAGAATGGTTTCTTCTTCAGCATTTGTTTCCTTCCTTTAAATAGACCTGCTAGTTTGACGGCATGGCATGGATTGGCGACTACCTTCAGATCAGGAGCATTGTTGGAATTTTTTTTTTTTTTTTTCCATTAGTTGTGTACTATGGGTCAAGGATCAAGAGAGGAGTGCTTTGGCGAATTGGGCGCTTCTTGAGGACTTGAAACTTGTATCGTTATTCCGGTTGGATTTTTCCTTGAGTTTGAGCAGTTTTGTACATATCTTTCTCTCCTTGGTATAGGTACTCCGCTGGGGATTATTCCTTTGGGATGGCTTAGGAATACGTTCCTCAGCCTACACGGTTGTGTATGAACCATAATACCCGGTGTCATATTCAGCCGACGACCTAGCAGTTTATATATGAGCCCTATTCTTATACACTTCCGAGAATTTGTAGTTGCGTGTTCGGTTGTGTGTGTGCGGATGTTGCGTGTAAACTAGATAGACCTCGGCTGGAAATTCGTAAAACCGTCAGCCTTTAATGTAGAGGTGAATAGGGCCGTATCTGGCTGCTCCACACGAGGATAGATAACGAGGTAAATTCGCCAGGGTGGTTTTCTACACGACCATACCCTTGAGTGTAGGATCGGCGAAGCATTCAATGCATGGATTCGGCCTCATCAGCTCCCCCACATGTTTAACGCAGTCAAGATCGCCCCAGCGACTTATGCTAGTACGGAAGGATGTCCAATCCTTTCTCAACTGATTGCCACCGTTCAGCTTAGCCGCATGTCTACGAAGGGAAAGATATGATCACACATACCCATGACCTTATCCCACCTCATTCTTCCCTCAAAGTCTCCGCTCTCATCTCTCATGATCCACAGATCTTCTAAAAACGCTCTTGCGCTCCTAACATTTCCCATTCCGTACTGAGACTCAATTCTGGAGAGAAGGGTTCGGACGTCATCACGGTCCGCGGCATCACACGCCTCGCATCCCGCAGCAAACAGTGGTTGTAGAACAGCCACGCCCGGACACGGCTCGTGTAGGAAGTGTATGGCTGATACTCGATGGATGATCTGCTGCACAGACTTCTGCACTAAAGTGCTCGAAGAAGGGAGATTTAGGACGCGCCTGTAGAGATGAAGGAGAGCGACGTGATGGTAAGTTTCATCGACAGCTGCAAAGTCAATTCGGTGGAGACTGGAAAGTGAGGCGTCGATCGTTGGGCGAAATCGTGGCTCATGAGAGGCAAGCATGGAGCTGATGTTCTCTATCATTCTGAAGCATCGTTCGCGAATTATGTCATTGGGAATGCTCGAAATATCGTCAGTACCTGTCGGACATTGCTGCTCTCCGCTCAGTCCGGATTCGACAGCGAGGAGGTTAATGTCACCGAAGATGGGTATAAGCGCCGTAGAAAATCCGGTGAGATCGTCGATCTCATCATTACCTATCAAGCGCCGTAGCTGAAGGACTGTTCGCGATCCCGGAGAGATAACCAAATTCCCACTCAATAGAGTAATGGTTTCTATAGAAAGATACCAGCGCCAAAGCAATAGAGTAGCCTCTGACAGCGAGGACCCGGAATTCCTGGCATTTTGCAAATGCTCGGCTATTATCGCCGCCGTTCCATGTAAATGTGATCTCCACGAGCCTGGACTCCGACCGTCGGATACAATATCGGCGGTGCATAATGTTAGAGTGGTGGCAATAACTGCGTCATTCAATTCTTTTCTCGGCTGCGCCAAAGCGGCCTGAAGCTGCCGCAAACTTGTAAACTTAAGCCAGTCGAGCTGCGTGATGCTCTGATCCATACCCAAGCATATTCGATGCGTTGCTGCGAGACTTAATAGGGCGACAAATAAGTGGGATGTCTGAAGGGCCATAGGGATAAGAACAGAGCAATATGTACGCTGAATCATTGAATGGCAAGACAGAGAGAGGGTTGTGCAAGACATAAAATGGTCCAAAAGGAACCGATACGCAGGTGGGATCCATTGCAATTCGTACGGGTTTCGTGGAATGACGCTGTTCGGAGCTTGGTTAACTCTCTGGGGGCACAAAGGGAACACAGCTGCTGAAAGTGAGCGCTCGGCTTCCGTCTGGTCGAAATTAATGGTGTCTCCAGTGTAGCTGGAATCTGTATCATCGCGACAACAGACGTTAGCAAACAGCGTCGAGTCGCTTCAAGACAGTTGGTATACGTGCCACTGGACAGCTGCTGCGGCACAGAAACAGGTTTGGAGGGCTTTCCAGAGCCATAGACGAAAGCTCCCTTGTCACCTAGCCGACGAATTTAGTTAGCTAAATCGCCCACTGGCGGGGGGTGTGTTGTTTCAAGTCGTCGATCTGGGTTTCGCACCAGAGGTTGGATTAAAGGGAACTTGAACCAGCCCAGGGTCGTTTCGAAGGCATTCGCCGAATCGCGATTTGGAAAAAGGTCGACCGCCCCATGAAAGGCGCAGAGTGTAGACACATTGCCTGCCGGAGCGTAGGCAGCCTGAGCAGGTGGGCTTTCGCTCGTCACACTTGCGGTGTCTCTGACGGCATTCTGTGCAGCCGGAGCGGGAACGACGTTTGGGTCGCGATGGAGTTGCTTCCATGGAAATATCTAGGAGCCTGGTTTAAGAGCAAATGAGATTGGGTCCTCTTTATGCCTTCGCTTCTTACGACATTGTGATCTCTCAATAAGTTCAGAGTAGTTAATCTTCGGCTCGGACCTGCGGCGGGGAAGATTTTCAGTGACCGCCAAGCGCTTCCACTCTCTCGAACCGGCCGGCCGGCCGTCTTGGAAAAGCAGCGCCCACGGAAGTATTATACAAGTCACTCTTGTGAGTTACAGCGCTCTTCGAAATAATAGGCGATGGCTCTACAAGGCACATCCTTACCGTGGCTCCAGAGACACAGATCAAACCATCAACGCCCAGTTTACACCGTAATCATGTATAGGTCCTTTGAATTATGGCCTGAGAACATGGGCACCCGAGACAAGGGCCTTCGTAGATATTGATATCAAACCCAAAAGGACTCATAGCATACTAACTAGTAAGCAGTCAAAATTTGATCCTCCTCTGCATTGGCCCCAGCAACTGGGTCCTCACAGCACCGGATCGCTCTCGCGAGGGGTGGAATATGCACTTTGGAGGGAGACAGAAGGGGGAAAAAGAAAGGTCAAAAGGAAAGGGAAAGGAATGAGGTGTACTAGACGCTAGGAATATAACAGTTAGCATGAAATTCACTCATACCAACACCCAACCCTCCAATAACAATAATCTTAAAAACGTATGCCGTTGGGGGGGGGGGGGTTTTGTGTGTGTGCCATAAAGGGGTGGCCCAAGCTGGAGAGTTCGAGGTCAGGCCCGTTTGATTTTAAGTGCTTTCACCAGAGAAATGCATACCTGGTCTTCAGATTGAATCTGGACTCAACAGATAATAAGCGTCCCTTCCAACTCTAGGACCTTGAATCAGCCCTATGGCTTGTAGCCAGGAGCTTGTGGTTTAGGTATCTTTTGAGGCTTCTTGTATCAATTTGTGAACGCGAGATGCAGTTTGGAGCACAGAACCTGACCGCTGCAATGCACCCTTGGCCAAGCTTCTGATTTCTTCTGACTTATATACGTCGAAACTATCTGATTGTGGGGCATCTTGCGTTGTGTTGATATCGACAGCCTTAGAGACAGATGATACACTTTCATCAAGGTCGTGGGCGCAATCCAATAGTAGTTTCTGAAACTCAATGGCAAGAACTAATTCCATTGGAACCTTTGTAGTGGGAACAAAAGATCCAATACGTAGCCTATGGCAGGGAGATGGAGATCCAGTTGCCTTAGGGTTGCATTTCCCATTCTCAACGGACCTTTTGAGGTGTTGAAACACGAGATCCCACATATCGAGAGTGCGGTGGTGACAGGACAGCAGCTGAAGCAAAGAGGCCTGATCTATTGTTCTCCTGGACATGTGTGGGGTGGTGGAAGGTATCTTTGAAGAAAATGACTGGATTTGCTTGAGGACAGGGGGATACAGATCGATGAGGTTCTGCGTTAGTTCAAACGTTTTAACAAGCGCAAACAAGGTCCCCTGACCAGTTGGCGACTCTGCAGCAGCAGCAGCAAGCACCCTATCATAAGCACCTTTGTCGTCATGGATAGATAACGGTGGTAGGGACACCCAATTATCTTCCAGGTTAACGAACAGGTTTGCCAACTGATGACCTAGCCTTTCTGGGGTGATATGTCCAGTCCTATTGGTATTTTGTGAAGTGCGAGGTTGAGATTGATAAAGAGTCGCTGAATGCTAATTGACCGGCCAAACAGATGGGCTTAGGCAGTTAAAATCGAAGCTGCTTAACCATTCGTCATCGTGCACAGCGTAGCCAGGAAGCAACTGGTTAGGAACCGTTTCCTGGGCAGGAAAGGCGGTGCAAGGGCTATTAGCAGAGACCCGCTGACCAGAGTCCGAAGTCTGAGTCAAGAAATCGCTTGGGCCTGGACGAGACGGCCCTCCCGTACCCGTGCTTGGGTTGCAAGGAGTGTGTGGCTGATGGAAGATGCGGTCCGGGTGGCATCGATGATCCACGGTTGGCAAGAGAGTCTCATCGAGAAGGTTCAGGAAAGCCGACGGGTCTGCAGCCTGACAACTTTGAAGCTGTAGGGCTGGAGGAGGTTCCCTGGTTGCACCTTGTTCTAGCTCCCTTGTTTGGGGTCGGAGTCCACGCATGGAGGGGCTGAATACGCAGGAAGCAGATGCCCTGATACATCGAGTGCAAACCTCGCTCCCTGCAACTTTGGAGCACCGTAATTTCAAGGAATTGCAGCGGTCACAAGCCAGCCGTTTCCGCCTGGGAGCATGAGAAGCCATGCTCGCTTCCGCCGTGGCTTGTGAATATTAGCACATCAATGATGATGGCTGGGAGAAAAGGGACCTGCTAAAACCATTTACTGAGCCCAGGTCACCCCCTGAACAACAAACTCAGTTTTTATGGGCTAATTACACCATTTGTGGCACATTGACAAGATGAGATGATAGGAATATCAATCGATGGAAGAAGATCACACGAGGCTGACGTTTGGTAATAACTAGTCGCCAAGTGCCAAGCTTTTAGTTAACAAATTAAGTAACACCTGGACATTTCCCTCCTAATCATTCAGCTTTTCTGCGGCAAAGCCCTCCGCAGCAAGGCCTCGATGTCTGTGAACTCGTAATCCGGCATGATCTTGTTCCAGCTTGGCTCCACGTCGGTATCTCCACGGACCCCGGCCATGAGGAATTCCGGAAACATCCGCCGCGCGACAGCCTCTTGCTGCTCGACGGGGATTTTCGGGTGGCTGAGCGGCGGCACCCAAGGCAGATGTGCCTGCCCTTTCTCAAGGTCTTCCCGTTTTACGGTATGAATCGTCAATGACTCTCCTGATTCCGTTAGCTTCATCTTGTTCTTCTTCTTCTTGTCCACTTTTCTTTTTTCTTTTCTTTTTCTTTTAAAAATCTGGCGAGGGTGAAAACCAGCAAGAGGTCAATATACTTCATACCTAAGACATTTTCGACAAGCTTGATCAGATCTTTCATCCTGATCCTACTTCCAACCATACCGCCGATCTCGGGCCAATTTCCTTGATAGTCGATTGCTCGCGCGACAACTTTCGCCATGTCTTGAATGTCTGTGAAGACAAGCCAGTCTGCTCCATCATCCACCTGGATAGCTTGCTTCTCTTTTACACTCAGAAAAAGCGGTGTAATGTGCAGGTACTGGGTTGTCTTATATGGGTATGCCAAGTAATTCATGAAGAGCCCTGGTTGAAACAAGCAATATTCTAGCACTTGCCTGTCGGCATTTATGTCTTGAAGATATCTGTGGACCTCCCTCTTGAACTCTTGGCCTGGCAGGTATGCATCGCTCCGCCTGTTTATCGAAGATGGTGAGCGCTGTGTAAGTGTCTCAGGGAGGAGTTTTACCCACAGGCCCCACTCGCTTGGTGCAAATCTTCTGACCCCAGCGGCTATACATGCGTCGATGAGTGCCTTTTGCGTCTTGCTTTCGGGGTCATTGCTGACAAAGGACAAGACCGTATTGACACCTTTCAGGGAATCGACGAGCTCATCTCGATTCTTATAATCAACCCTTTTCACAGCAATACCAGGGTTTGAGAACTCAGGCAGCTCAGCCTACAATCCCATGAATATATTAACGATTTATGAGCTGGATAAGATGTTCATTTTGGATTGGGGGAAAACGACATACCTTTCGCGAAAAGACGGTGATTTGATGTTTTCCCTGCGCTGCAAGTTCCTCGACGATTTCACGCCCGACGTCTAGTAGATAATGTTAAGTGAGAATATTTGACGCTTGAGGGGAAATGTTGCAATTGTTTACTTCCTGCTCCTACTATCGCTATATGGACCATCTTTTAAATATAAATCAGGCAGTAATCAGACCTCGACACTTGCGGCAGAGGGGGGTTTATAAATCCGTGTCAATGGGCTTCATTTCATAGACAGATGGTTTCGTCGCTGCAGGAAAAGGGTTTTTATCTTCATATATAGGCTTTTAGAACTCGTGGAGCTTGGGCCTCCCTGCCGATACGAGTTTCTGCCTTGCTTCACCGAAGCGCCCGCGAAGGCGACCTTGTTCAGCGCTCGTACTTAACTTACAGCCGATGCAAACAAATCGGGCAAACACGACGTCACCGAACGTCACCGAACGCCAAGACCGAATGCCGAAGCTCAAAGCTTGGTAGCAGCTAATGCGGAAACGGTTTAGTGCGTACGGAGCATGTGAGCCGCAAATCTTTTAGTCAGCGGCTACATAGGGCTGGTCGTCGCGGAAACTGAGAACTCGGCACGAAGGTCAACAACACCGGGACCCCTGGCGTCGGCAACTGGACAATCAGCAGCCAGCTGCCTCGAGGGATTCGGTTCATTTGCGTTGCTGTCACTCCCACTCCAAATCCCCCATCTTCGCCATGGAAAAACGTACCAACGAGTCCCCGATGGACTTCGAATGGCAAACGAAGGCCCCCGGAGATGTGACGTCCCCTTTCTACCAACTAGCGATGGAGCATGAGAAGAGTGGAAATAAGCGTGAGAGAGCATTCACATCTACATGGACACTTTGCTCGTAGCAACATGCACAGCTGACCATACGTATCTAAAGGCCCATTCAGTGTCTTCAATTCCCCAACGAAAACCTTTACGGAGCCGAATCAGCGCTTTGAATTCTCGCAACCGCTAGACACAACACCCGCTTTTCATCCCAACCCAGCCTTCGCGACACCACGAAAATTAGATTTCGACTTTTCATCCGGGCCAGAAAACTCGCCTGATACCCACGTAGACAACGATGAAACTCCAGAGCCGCCGTCAAAATCTGACCGAAGGAATTCGTTGTTTAACTTCTACGGTAGATTCGCCCCGAGCCCAGGTCGTGGCGAGATTCCCCGTATAGATAGGTTTGCAAATGTGGCGATCCGGAGAGTTCAGAAACGAAGGAAACGAGAGAGAGAGGTAGAAAGACACTTGCGCAAAGTCAGTGAGGCGGACTCTGTCTCGACAGCCCGTGAGAGGCATACCAGACGCGATAAACCGCCAAGAGAAGGAATACAAATGCATCAAGACATACCCTTTTTTTCCCGGCTCTTTACATTTCTCGAATCTCACCCACATATTCCCCGCATTCTGTCGTACTATGTTCAGTTCACGTTTAATCTTGTCCTTGCCTTCCTCGCTCTCTATGTTATTGTCGCCTTCCTACTTGCGATCAAACACGATATGGATCGCACAAGAGAGGGGGTGTCCGCCGATATTTTGGCTGAAATGGCCACCTGCACCAAGAACTACGTTGAAAACAGGTGTAGCGGAGAAGATGGGAGAAGATTACCGGCTCTGGAGGCTGTCTGCAATAACTGGGAACGGTGCATGAACCAGGACCCAGCCAAGGTTGGGAAAGCAAAGGTCTCAGCTCAAACATTGGCGGAAGTTCTCAATGGGTTTATCGAGCCTATTAGCTTTAAAACCATGGTATGGAACGGTCCTGCTCCTTGATGAAAAGGTGAACCATTGGCTGACAAATCCTGCCAGATATTCTTTATCGCTTCGATTACATCCTGCGTTGCGGTCTCAAACTTGACATTCTCCTTCTTTCGAAATAAATCAAATAATCCTCCCGAATCGATGCCCTCGCGCAGACCATTTACTCCACCTAGTATGTACCCTAGCTCGTCGCAGGTTGCTTTTACCTCTGGGCACAGTGGATTTGGAATGGGAGCCCCGGGTTATGCGCCATACTCGGTGCAAGGTATAATTCCGCCTTTCGACATGAGCCCAGTGAAGTGTACCGATACCGATGAGCATCAACGGCAGATCGATTTTGGGCAGTTTACACGCCGGGTACAAACGCCCAGTCCATCCAAGCGGGAATCTAAGTTTGCTTAGTATTCTATCCTTCTTCTGCTAGCTCGAGATCGTACATGCTGGTTTAGGGCATATTCTTGGGAGCGGCGTGGAACGGATCTGAAAGGGCGTTACTGTTTTTAATCGGTCATTGATAGGATAGGGGCGCAAGTGGGGGTTTTTTTTCATCCCTTTCTCATCCTTTTATTTGCCTTCTTGATGTTTGCTTGTATTCTGCATTTGTTTGGTTCCTTTGTCTTATTTTATTTTATTTTCCATCTTTTTTCCTCACTAAGGCCACACAGAATTGCTACAAGCCTCAGTGATGCGGTTTTCGTTGTAGATATTTGCTGCCAGATCATTTCAAGGCGATAAATATTCGAGAAGATACCTCTTAAGCCATGGGAAGGTGTAGGCAGTGACAAATTGCGGTGTAGCTACAGTTTTGACCAGATCGTCTGCTGCGTGACAGCAACTTGCCGACCTGCAATTATGAATTTTGAGCATCAACAAACGAACTTCTCGTCAGCCAAGCCCCATCTCTCTCTATCTCTCTGCCTTCTCTGATCGTTTGTTCTCGAGATTGACTTTAACAATTGAATTTACAGATGTTGAGGCATAAGAAATCATACTCGAGGAACCACTTCCAAAGAAATTTTGCGAGATACTCCGTGCTCGGTGTGATTTTCAGGGGGAAACACCTGTCATTAATAAAGGTGGGTGAACTCTCTTCGGGTTATGCTCCATATCGTACAACTAGTGCACTATTGCTGTGGACTTAACCCTTTTATAAGAAAAAAAAAAAACCAGTATTTTCGAATCAACTGTATATCAACATTTGACATAGGCTGGAATCCGTGCTCGAGGAATAAGTCCTCTGCTCTATAGGACAACTGAGAACATTGATCAGGAACTATGACAATTTCATCCTAAGACCTTTCTCATAGATATTCGGAATATTGGAGTATATACACAATATGGGGAGACTTGCGTTGGTCCAACTTCAACAAAAAATGAAAGCATCAATGAAATTCACAAAGCAGTAGTTGAAGACTGTGACTTCCATCCAAAATGGATGATGATAGTGTGAAAGAGCAACCTGGGATAGAATTTGATAGAGGTCAGACGTTTAGCAGAAGGACTGGCTTTCCATATGTTTTACAAGTCGCGGTACTTGGATTAACAATGAAATCCAGCAATTTATGCTTAAGCTCTGTCTTTAGGTGCTTGGGGAGATCGTTAAACAATCGATGCTTAAGAATAACCGCACTTGTTTGGGATTTGACGTCGTAATGAGTCACAATTGTCATCTTCAAGTCCGCTTCTTTGTCCACGGCACGCACATATGCCCGCGCTCGAATGGCATACCAGAAGTCTACCACAATCAGTATGGATCGTATCTGGTCAACACTTTCAAGCCACTGGTTGGTTTCAGCATGGTTACGGATGACCACCCTAGTCACCCACAACCCATGTTCCTCGAGCGCACTGCTGGCGACGAAAGGGCTAGTTCATGGTGTCATCTGGATGGAATCACCAGGCGCAGGGATCCTCGGGCTTTGAAGGATAATTGACCGGGTCGGAATCAAGAATATATTTATTTTGTAGTTCAATCTAAATAGAAGCAATAATCTGAAGAACATCTGGTAGAAAGCTTTTGAAGGGTGTTTGAGGCGAGGATTGGGCTTTGGACCAGAACAACATATATTCATATAGATGCTGGGATCCCCACTATACTAGAACTTTTATTTCCTACTCCCAGTGATTGGAAGAAGGTGAAAACAAGTGACTACAAGAAGTTCAGCACTGTTCTCCTGTAAATGTCTCCCGCCACTCAGGAGGATTGTAGATCTCAGAAACGCGCTAGATTGCTTCGGTCAGCTCAGGAGTAGTTGAAGTCTTTTACCTTGTTCTCCACAGCTGCTACTGCACTGGAAGTTTCTAGAGGTCTAGAAGATCATCTGAATCAATCTTAACGTTGATGTTAATGTTGGTTTGAGGGAGGATTTGAAGACGTCGGGGGTCTTCATTGAGGAGCTATGAGGATTTGATGTCACAGAAGAGCATGTAAATTCTCTACCTCTTGGTATCAAAGTGTATCCTAAAATACCACAGCATGAAGATTTAATAGGATATTATTGATACTTCTCCTCGTCAATAAATCGCAAGAATTTCATAATACCCTAAGCAATAGACGTAGGAGTAGCAGAGCTGACAGGTGTCCCTAGCGGGACATCAAATTCTATTTCAAGATGTACAGAGAATCTGCTCAACAAAAAAAGTGCAACAGGTGTAAAAGGCCTAATCGAACTAGCTGTCAACTGCCATAGGGTCGTCCAACGTGGCTTTTGGTCCTTTGTACCATTTTCTCGCCGAGACGAAGTAATAGGTGAGCGAGGATCCCCACAGGGCGACATTGATCACAACTGTATAATTCATATCCGTAGCTGCATGTATCAAATTAGCCGTGGATTTCTAGAGAGAAAAGATCCCAATATCCTGCAGTGACTTACCTGAAGGGTTTGGCCCAAGAGTAGGGAACATGGAGAGGGTGATCGAGAAGGAAAGATACACCAACGCAGTGATGGCAATCGCCTTGCTAAAGCGTCCGGTATAAAATGCTCCGGGTCTGAATTTATCCTGACCCCAGAAGATTCTGCAAAAAATGGGAATAGCCCATGCCAGGTCATTACCAGCGACGCACAGCGAGAACAACGCGTTGGCGGCGGCAGGGTTAATCAAGCACAACAGCCCAATGATGATCGAGCCCCCGACACAACCCCAAACTGCGCGTATAGGCTGGTACCTGATTCGCTTGCTCACAACTCTCCAGAAACTGGAAAATGGCAGGGCTCCGTCTCGAGAAAAGGCCCAGCTTTGTCGAGATGCGGAAATAAGCTAGATGAAGTCAGCGAAGCGCCAATGTAATAGGACAGGCAAGTTCACTGCTTGAACATACAATACTCAGACCCATAAAGAATTGCACCACGGTTACCACAGTCATAAATCCCAATGCCCCGTTTTTGCCCAAGGCATCATAATAAACCTGAAAACATAGCTGTTAGTTCTAATGAGACACAGTCAGAAGATGCATGTTACAACAAACCTGGGTCATTGGTTGGCCGAATGGGGAATTCAAAATAGATGCAAGGTCTTTATTCATGCAAGCAGCGATGATACACAGGGACAGGAAGCCAAGAGACCAGCAAGCACCAATAGAGCCGAGAATTCCATAAGGCACTGCCTTGGCAGCATTGGTCGCTTCTTCGCTCATATGCACGCATGAATCAAACGCTCCGATTGTCCAGATGGGGGAAAGCCAAGCGAGCATGAATGCCCAACCCGTTGGCCATGTCGTAAGATTTTCCACGTGTGTAAAAACATAAGCTCCAGAGTTAATACCTTCGGCCGTCCTTGACTTCCCAATGGGCAACGCGATCGCGGTGGCCAATACTAATCCGACATTGGCCATGATGCACACGGACTGAATTCGATGCATAATCCCAGCCGCAAAGGTGGCAAAGATACCGTGGACGATTGCAGTTGCAACGAACGTGCCATATACTGCATAGGTTGATGGGGTCCAAGTGCCATCACCTCCAAGCGAAACAAGTGACAAGAGCATCCGTGCAAATCCATCTAAATTCATCTCAGTCAGTGGCTAGGGGCTGTCTTGCGGTAGGTTGGCATACAGTTAATCGAGCAGATTCCTCCAATAAGGCCAATAGTGTTGCTATAGCCAACTAGGAAGCTAAGCGGATTTTTCCACTTGTCAGCTGCAAAATAGTGCGTCCACCAATAAAGGCCCCCTGACGTAGGCAGAGCCGACCCAAGATCAGCCTATAAATGTAAGTCAGGATAAGTACATTATCGGTTCAATTCTCACTCACCATAGCAAGGCCGACAATGAAGATGAACCCGCTCGCCATAAACCAGCCCTGCACTCGGTTAACATGCCGCATGCGTCAGACTCTCATGCTCTTTGTATTGATAAGGGCAAAAGAAGTCTCTTTTCTTACCCAAACCATAGCAGCCGGTCCCCCTGGAACCGAAAATGATAACGTTGATGCAATTGAAGGAAGCAGGCCCATGATGCTAAACGCAATCGCAAAGACCTGAATTGTCGAGTAACGTCGTCGGAGTTCCTCCTTGTATCCCATAGCAGCTTCAGAAGAGGTTAGCGCCAGCAATTGGTGCAGTGTACACACCGCTTACCGAGAACATCCGCATCCACAACATCCTCCTTTTCCATGATTTGAGCTACAGGCTCGGAGGCCAAACCGGCCTTAATCTCTTGATCTGTTGGCATTGTTGAAAACCGTTTTCGGGGTTCAAAGCCAGGAATCGCAGAATAACTGGCAACAAGGAGAGTAGAAGGACCTTGCCATTGTCAGGGCGGACGGAGGCTTTTTGAGGAGGAAGGATATGCGGGGACAGCGCAGATAGCTTTTCTAAGTGACCCAGAAGCATGGTCGACATAATTGGTGAAAGTTAACCATAGTGTAGAGGACGTGGTCCGCATATCATAGATAGGGACAGTCTGAAGTTTAAAAGCAGCCAGGTACTCCATCGATGATCCACCTGAATTTGTTTGGCTTGAGATGCACTGCTCGACCAATTGAGTTAGGTCAGATATGAGGAAGCGGAAAAGTTGTGTTGACAAAGCAGAATTCCACTTAAGAGGGGTGATCAACAGCTGAAAACATTGCACCGCATTTTACCAAGGAGGTAAGTCCGCTGTATCAGATCCGATGTCTGTCTGACGTTCAGGAAAACCTGCTAGGGAATGATGTTTGGAAGAGGAGCGTAGGTTACCTTGTGCTTGCTTCTCCCTAGGTGGAGATTGACCCGCTAACTCGTATCGCTCTTCGCCTTGATAAGAGCCCGATGTTCCACGTTGGCAGAAATAGCATCTCGGCGAGATAAGTTAGCTGGTAGAATCAGGATGTGATAGGAGAACCCCAACATAAGCTGGGCAGACGAGTCAAGGCCGGCACGTCTCCCCGCATTTTGCACCCCACAACCCCGGTTTCTAAGGTTTTGCGGAGAGGGATATGGTGCTCCGCAAAATTTCCGTCAGAGGGCCATGGACCTCGCCCACATTGCCTGGCCCCGGACAGATGGATGGGAGGTCCATTTGTCCCGAGGTGATATCCTAGCGGGGACGGACATCGGCAGCTAGTTAGTCCGGGCGATCGCCGTGAAGAGCCACACTAACATTGCACATAAACTCACGGCGGAGGCTCCAGTGGTTGACGAAGGTTTCCGCCGACTCTGCGAAGCGCATTTCTTTTCCTGCCCGCGTTAACAATGGCTTAGCTGGCATCTCAGACACCCTCGGTTTTGCTTTCTTATGCAAACTCCCGCCCGCCCGAACGGATTTCCCCTACAGAGCACTCTATGCCACGAGACTTCTCAATATACTCCTTACACCACCCAGGACGTCGATGCTCCCGGCCTCGTCTCCCTTCGTGAACAGAGAAGCAGCTTCGAGAATCCTTGACCGCGGTATGAGGTATTCGTCCCAGGGTGGACCGACGAAGAATGAGATGGCTGCCTGTAAAGGGCTGGTTGCCACGAGGATTTGGGGGTGGAGAGAGTTGATCGCGATCTTCTCGCGTCGGAGAGGAGCAAGCGCGCGGACAAGGTCGGAACGAAGTCCAGATATGCTAATGTATACCGGGGTTTAGGGAAAGCCAAGTTGTATACGGAGTACAGGGTAAAACTGGGAGGTGTGGAAACCGATATCGGGCCCTGAAGCCCGAAATGATTACGATTTTCCTCCTCGATGCACATCAACTATTTACCTCGTTCTTGATAGTACTCCGCATTGACTTCGCACTCTGATAGCTGATTCCTCGCGCTGTCTCCTGCTGCATGTAGCATGTGTGGCAACCCGAAGGGCATCGGCTATCCACCAATTGCTGCTATCGCCAACCCGTTGGACGTGCCCCTTGTACTAGGAATGCATGAAGGCATTTACCAAAGTCAATCATGTACGGGTTCTTCGGCGTAGCCGGTGCATCGTAAATGATTCGGCGAAGATAACTGAATAAAGTCAACCGCATTTACGAGAACAAGGATCACGTTTCTCGCCCAGCCGGCCAGCGGAGATTGTGGGATCTTCGCGCATCAGACCAGAATTTCGCTACGGCCTCTATCTTGGATATGTTTATCCGCTGCGTAATGACTTCACTCGGTCATTGGTCCCGCACCTGCGGCTTAGGCCTGATTCTTGTTTGACTTTCTCCCGCAAGGGTAATGCAATATTTAAAGCGCAGATTCGTTAGCGATATAGTTATGTGGTAACTGGCTTTTGTGTACTCCGTAGCCTCTGTACTATAAGGCGGATTGTTGGCTCGGGAGGCTACAGGATTCCTGTCTGGGTTTGCCTTTCCAATATCCTCCGACTCAAGCCTAGAGGCGCGCTATGTTTGTTGTACAGCGGAAGGCGATAGAACGGAATATCTAGCCCGATCTTTGCTTCCCGCCCCCCTTTCCGCAATCCCCCAATATGTGAAAGTGTGGGGGATAGCCAATACCGTTTTGCTGGGACACAAACCCCGCAGGGCTTTGGGGGACGCAATCTTGGGTCGAATTTTTTGCGGCCTCTTCTCACCCGATGTCAACGGGATGCGAACTGCCTCGTTGAAGCGAAGGAAGGGGCTTGAAGCCGAATCCTGCACCTGCGGTTGCTGAAGGTCATCTCAAGGTGAAGAAAAATCGGCTTGTCTTTGACGAACCCAAACCCCGTTGCGCTAAATTCGGATGGCACTCATCATCTCGAATCGCGTTTTCGAAAGCGCTGCATATCATGTATATTGTCAGCAGGTGAAGAAAGCGTACTGCTAATCTGATAGCTACCTTATATCCAGACAGCAGCTAGCGACCATGTCGGGAATTGGTATGAGGACCTTTTGGACCACCCAGAATGCCGGGGTAATCCTGTAAGCGATTCATTTGCTGCGATACCAGCTCCTTTACTAGTACTACCTAGTAACTCTCATCTCCAGGTGAAAGTCCAGGAAGCATACGATTCCTACAGGCAGACGGGCCTCTCAAAGACCATCGCTTCGATGACGTGTCGGGATGTCCATCCCACAAAGGAGAGGATAGCGCCTAGCCCAGCCCTTGTACAATACTTATCGCATCTCGAAGAGAGCACCGCGAGGCCGGAAACTTTGGAGGCCCCGTATGAAAATGAGTCAATAAACTGCATGGTGCTCCGGGCCGCGTCCAACCATGAAGATCGTAGAGCTCTTGCGCGGCTTGCAGGATCGGCTGAGGGTTGTGGTGGGGGCTGGTAAGTGCTGTGATGCATTCCGTCTACGTCGCGACTCCAGCAGTATGAATGAGTGCCGACAAGACCATTTATTCCTCGTTGGTCGGTTAATTAAGCGCTGAGATGTGCAGATATATGGTTCCCTGTCCTCCCGACTACATCGATCCGTGTTGGAGATTTCACACCGCCATCCAATGACCCACCTTAAGGCCATCTACAGTCAAATGGGGACTGATCTCCTCCGGGAAATGTTGAACTATCCCGCGGTCCTTGCTACGGGGAGTGGCCAAAAGAGGGCTCGCCTTGGCAAGCCAATGCTTGTTTTTGACAAGGTTGGAGTGGCCATTGGTTTTGTTCCCACTGGAGAAGACCAATATACTTATCATCACTTGCGGACGGATCTTTATGGAATGGCACTACGCAGCGGTGTTAAGATGGACACGTGCTACATTGCCTGCACAGCCCATATCACCCTGGATCGCTTTGTGTCAACCACTACATTCGACTCGGATAGCGATGAAGGTACGCAAAAACATATCGAAAACTGGATCAGAACCATCCAATGCATTAATCAGGAGGTGAAGGACCGGTGCAACAGATGAATGGGATTGGGTGGTGGACGAGGAGAGAGGATTGGAGATACAGATGGGTATGCTTAAATTCGGACGCGGTACAAATGCAGCAGCAGCAGTGGGACAAAGCCTACTGTATGAATATCAGGCTAACTACAGAGTACATATTTAAATCACCATGGTAAAACCAATGACGAAATGTTGCTTAAGGCAATGTCTTGTCCCATGTCTTGCTCAACAACCACACCACCAGCATACCCTTCAGCATGCCACTTGTAGATGGATGGTGGATTAAGGACGCACACATATTGCCAAGGCATGTTTGTCATTAATGAGTTGTTTTGCCAGAGAGAACCCTTGCATTCATACTGACATCAAGCCGTGAAATGTCTGGGCAGGGACCGGAGTTAGGAGATAACACTCTGTCACTTTGCCAGTTGTTTTGCAGGATAACTTACAGGGATTGATTGGGTTGTGGTCGCACAAGCTGTTGTCATATGGCCTGCTGTGATAACTGGTAAAAACAGCCATTCAAGTGCCTTGGTATGGAGTACATTTTTTATATTGGTAGATTTGATTAGCTTCTTTCACCCCAAGAATCCCAAATATTGATGGCTAAAACACTTGATCAGCTCCTGGCTGTCTATGAGTTGCGAAGGTAACCGCCCTGCATGATCCTTTGCACACCCAGCAGATTTTCTTTTTTCTCCTATCCTTTTCTCCCTCACTCTCCTCTATCTCTCTTCCTCATTGTGTACTGACAAATGTGTCAGCTTATTGATACAATGCTTGTTTCAGTGTAATAATTTTTTTTTTTTTTCTTTTTTTGCCCTGTAAGTACTTATAACTTTCCAACCCTGTCATTTTTCAAGATTATCAATGGGTGTCAAGAGCATCATGTTCCAAAATCAAAAGAATCATCAACAGCAATAGAAGGCACCCACCATGTTTCTTGCACATCAACATCAACCAAAGACAGTCAAAATTTGGACTTTATCATACGAAACGGCCTAGCTGGAGGCGCCGCAGGCTGTGCTGTGAGCCTCACCACCCTAGCCACCAAGAGTTGATTGCTGATGTGAGGGTACCGCAGGCCAAAACTATTGCCACCCCATTGGAAAGGGTCAAGATTCTCTTTCAAACCTCTCATTCTCATTTTGTGCAACATTCCACCCACTGGAATGGTTTATTCAAGGCTGCCAGAGACATCCAAAAGACTTATGGAATACCTGCACTTTTCAAAGGCCACTCAGCAACCTTGGTCCGCATCTTCCCCTATGCTAGTATCAACTTTCTCGCATATGAGCAGCTCCGAGCAGTCATTATTGTATCTCCAGAGAAAGAAACACCATCGCGTCGATTTTTGTGTGGAAGTATTGCCGGTGCGGCCTCTACTTTTGTCACATACCCTCTTGAGTTGATCCGTACACGTCTTGCCTTCGAATGAATACAAAAGAATCCCTCATCCTGGCTTGGTATTTCTCAGCAAATGTACTATGAAGGCGGAGGCAGCTGGTGTTTGGCCATTTTTTATCGTGGATTTGCCCCAACTATGCTAGGCATACTTCCGTATGCTGGCATGTCATTCTTAGCCCATGATGTGATTAAAGACTGGTTTCGCTTGCCTGCTCTCGCACCCTACACTGTAAGACCACAATCCCACACACAGTTGACAGCAGTTGCACAGCTTTCCTGTGGAGCACTTGCTGGCATGGTTGCTCAAACAATTTCTTATCCAATTGAAATCATTCGGCGACAAATGCAAGATGGAAATGTGGTTGGTACCCAAGCAGGCATTTTGGAAACAGCTCTGCGTCTCTTTTTGGAGAGAGGAGCGCGCGGCTTCTATGTTGGGCTAACCATTGGCTATGTGAAAATCGCTTCCATGGTGGCGACAAGTTTCTATGTCTATGATCGCATGAAGCAATTTTTGGGCCTTCTTGAGTAACCAAGATCTTGTTTCTCTGTCTCTCAACTCCGTTGACCGCTTCCCTCTATCATGGCCCACCTCTTGTAACTGGATATCCAATACATTTTATGATTTTCCCACAGCTTGGTGTACGTGACCGGGTCTTCTGGCCCATTAGCCAATTTTTCCTTATCAAACTCTGCTGTAAGGTGGTTGAAACCTTCATTACATTTGGCTTAACTGAAGCATTATAAAAGTTACTAACCACTGTCTAATTTATTGTTGTGACTCCAGTTATCTTTAGTCTGATACTGATCAATCATTTCACCACAATATAGATTATCCCTGACTCAGAGGGAAAAAGAAAAAAAAAAAAAAAAAAAAAAATAGGGAAGGCCATATCTGGGTTCTAGATGGCTAGATAGAAAACACAGTGGTATGTCCAGCCTGCTTTATCAGGGAACTATTTAGCACATAGATCACAGAATTCAAGAAATGCTTGGTGCACAGGTTGGTGCATAGCATAATGCAACCACCTGCTATTTTTATAGTACTATTAGTAGACTGCGGCATATATTTTGCTCTTGTATTATGGATCTTGTGGCATAACATAGAAAGATCCAGAACAATTGAAGAGAGCCTGAAAAAAGTAGAATTACAGACTGCTCTGGAAAAACTTGAAATGTAAAAATTTGCCTGTAAATCTCTCACACTGATGAACAATATTCATGAGACAAGAAACTTGCTTGTGAGATGTTGGGATTTAATGTATGTTTGTGAGATGGTAAGTTGCGCTTGTAAGCACATATAACTAAAAAAAGTACTCTATGAAATCTTTTATAAAGGTCAGTAGTGATCTTGTGTACAAGTTATACAGTTGCTAGAAGGATAAAAGATATTTTTATCTCTATATTTTTATCTAATTTCCAGTAGAGATTTATTATTATATTGATCTGTAAAGTATAATTCTCAAATTTACTAAAAAGTGGTATGAAAGCTATTGGCATCAATGACAGCTTTATAGTAAGCTGGCATACTATGTACAATAATCTTCTCTGCAATACTGTTCCACGCCTGCGGTACCAGCTCTCCAAGCTTATTATGTGAAGGATTCTCCTTATCACTATAAGCTTGTATCCAATTCTTCATCAAATTCCATACTATCTCAATAGAATTGAGAACAGGAGAATATGGCAGCCAACTAATTGGCATGATACCTCTGTCACGTGTTCATTAGCCTTAGCCTGTATTTAGTAGTTACCCTTTGTCCTATTCTTGGGCCCTAGCTAGCTCAATCAATCTTATGATATTCACTTATAACACCTGGTAGCATGTCTTTGAACACTTATTCTTACTAGATTGGCTCAGATTGATCATGACATAAGTATAGTCTTGCTTGCCTTAACTTTGATCAGGAAATGATCTTCTGTAGTTCAGAAGAACTGTTATTGTGTTAAAGATGCATCTGCAAGTCTTTTCAAAACAGTAATTTGCTACTCTGCTCACCTGTTTATTTTAATCTCATGCTCTTAAAATTCTCTCAAGAAACATTATGAAAGAATAACTTTTACAAGATCTCCCTCACTGTCAAGAATTCCCTGGCTATCTATATAAATATTCAAGTAAACACCCCTGGATAACAACTGACCATCTGTGATTAACCAGTATCAAAATCATCTTGACCATGGATTAGAATGCCACCATCTCTGATTCTGATTCTGTCAAAATCTCTCAGATGATCCTGGACCTGGAAAATAGAGATAATAATGACATGAACACCTTTAAGAAAAGAATGAAGAAAGAGTATATTAAAACTTTATTTAAAATTGATTGCTTAACACTGCTGCACTATTATAATACATTTATTAATAGCACTCATTTGCATCTGGCAAAATACATCAGTACTCAGGATTATAACTGTATGAAGACAGTTGTTTTACTTAAGATATCATAAAAAATTAAAAACATCTCAGAATCAGCAAAGAAATTCATGGTCTCTCTAGCTTGATCTCACTTGATAATCTTACAGTTCAAAAAATAGATCATCTGTTTCTGGGCAGAACTGACATAACCAGATAATATTTATCTTGCATTCCCAAACTTTATCTATCTGAAACAAGACTTCTTTCAGCTTCTGGAGATGATGCAATTGATGAATAACATGCCTTCTAATAATATAAATGGTGACCACTAAGCACAACCTCAGCCAGATCAACAACTGATGGCCTTTTTTTTCTTTGAATCTACTGTAGAAATCACAGTGGAAACTTGACTCTTTAGCTCTTGCTATATAAATACTAGAGAAAATAAGCTTCAAGAGAATATTGATTGCCAATGTAAACCTGAAGATCTTGAACCAGAAATGGAACATTATAATTGTCAGCCAGTACAAGATTATAAGCTGCAAGGCAACTCTGACTGATCTGGTACTAGTGAACACTATGTGGTTTCCCACCAGTATGGTCAGCCTAATTCTCCAAACTGGTGTGAAGCAATATCTAGAATTACATGCTGTGATACTGGAAAACATTATGTCAGGCTGCCTGATGATTGTTGTATGTGATTGGGTTCTTTAAGTCTTGAAGAGTGTCAAAGGGCTTAAAGAGAGTAACAACAGATTGGAGGTAGTAATTAATAGTTCAATAATGCTTCAGTTGAGTGAGCAGTCTTGCTCTGATGATAAAGAGTTTCTGTACAGATATATCAGAGTTAGAGCAAGACTATTGTATCTTCTTAAGAGTAGTGAGATCAGATACAGTTATACAGTATCACAAGACTTTAATAATATGAAAAGTAACCAAGATATAAAAGTATCTGATTTAAAGATATCTATAAGATAGGTGGAAAGATTAATTATAATGAACAAGTTTATTAGATCTCTAATAATAAGTATTCTTATATATATAATACTCTTCTGGTGATACTTGTGATACTTTCTTCTAGATTGCTTGTGTTGTAGTATTATAATATATAATACTTTCTTTCTTATATCTTATCTTACTTGTATCATCTTCTGGTTATGTAACTTTCTGTCTTAAGATTTCTTCACAACAGCTCATGACTCTGTCTTGTTAGATCTTGTTTAATTATTCTGTATCTTTAGCTGCTGTGCTATTGTAGT